ATATTGTGAGACATAGAGATAAACATATATTCAGAGATGTATCAAAGTGCTTTTAGTATTTTTTTCAAACTGCTCAATAATTTATCTAAAAATGTCATGGAAAGAGTTGGATAGAATAATTACTTATACTCTGTTTTGTTAGAGCACTGGTGGTGTAGACAGTATGGAGTTGCACAGCTATGCTCTCTGATGGTTCAAACCCACCAGTGGGACAGAGATAGGCAGCCTCCTTTGTGAGTTGTAACCTGAGTCAAAAACCTCCTGGAGTATCATCTGAGTTGGTTCATATTTGACAGCAATGAGGGTGAGTTGTGGTGTTTTTGTTTGTTTTTTTAAAGTCTATATTGTTATCCTGAAGGCACATGGTTGGAATCCACCAGATGCTCCACTGGAGAAGGAGGGGCAATCTCCTCTTGTGGCAGTTGGATCCGATTTGATGGTACACAACAAGAAAAAGGGGGGGGGGCGGGGAAGTCTGTATTGTTCTGCATCATCAAGATGGAACTTAGAGTTAACCCTCCAGTGGGTTCTCAGAGGCTGTGAGCCAGCCACCTGGAAAGGGAATGTCCAACTGCCTACCAGGAATCAGCTGGCAGACTGGAACCATGCACCTCTGGGATAGCAGAGCAACTCCTTATTGCTACATCACCAGAGCTCCCTGGTATTCCAAGAGTCATTCTAAATGAAGATAGTATTTTGGTTCAATTCTGAGCCCGGCCAGGAACTTCTGTTTCATTTTCGTTTGGGAAATAGAAGAAAATAGATGCATGTCATGGTTATAGACCATGGTGGAACATGACCATTTTGTTTTGTGAAACAAATATTTATAAAATTAAATATAAGTTACATTATTTATGCCTGCAGTTATCTCAAACCATACACAAAAACTTTGTGTTAGATCTTTTTGGGGAGAGAAAGAATATAGGGCAAAGCCCATTCTGGTGCTGACAAGGAAACTGAGTATTAATCACCTGAGGTAGGAATCACTTGGACTAGAGGGAGAACAGAGATCCTACAATGTGTATGGGCAGGGGTAACAAATGCCTCCAGTGACTACAGAGTTCTTGGAGATGCCTGTTTTCCATAATAAATGTAATGAAAGCCCGGATTTAGTTTTGAATCTTAAGGAAAAGGTGATTCTCTAATTTCCAGGATCCCAGGGTACCTATCTTTCAAGCTGTATTCTTCAAGCCTTTCACTAGCAGAATTACTTTCTTGTAATGAAATTGATGAAGTAGACATTTAAGGAAGAAATAATACGAATGTTGTGTAAACTATCAGGAAACAGAAGAGTTGGGAACAACTTTCCAAGTTATTCAGTGAAACCTCATGAGGCTGTTTACCTCATAAATCTGCCAATATAAAAAATATTACAATAAATGAAAACCATACAATAATATATCTCATGCATATACATATTTAGGGGGTATTTATTATTAATTATTTTTATTGCAACATACATATTTTTACAGCATATTCTTTGCATTTAATTTTTCCCTATTCATTCATTATTGCTTATTTTCCTCCCTATCCCCCCAGTTCATTTTTCTCTCTGAAGAATAAAAAACCTTTCATTGTGGTACAATCCCCTCCCAAGTCCACAGTCCATTTTACTATGCATTTCTTTTTCTGTAATCTTATCATGAAAATAATACCTACTCCTATATTCTTTTTTAAACAGTTCTCTCCCTGATCCGTTTCAATGCAGTATACATTATTTATCCCCCTCTTTTCTTAGGTTCCTCCCAACCCTAATGTCAGTCCTGTTTTATAACAGTGGCACTATGCAGAATTTGTCCTTTTGTGACTGAGATAGTTCACTCAGCATAATGTCCTCCAGGGTCACCCATTTTGTATAATATTTCATGAGTTCCTTGTTTTTCAAGGCAGCATAGTATTCCATCATGTGAATATACCAGAGCGTCTCTATCCATTCATTTGTGGATGGGTACTTAGGTGGTTTCCAACTCCTTGCTATTGTAAACAAAGCCGCACTAAACATGGGTGTGCATATATCTGCTTGGATGTCAGTTATAGTTTCTTTAGGGTATATTCCCAGTAGTGGAATTGCTGGGTCAAATGGTATTTCTATTTGCAACTTTTTGAGAAAGCGCCATACTGCCTTCCACAGTGGTTACACCATTTTACACTTCCACCAACAGTGAATAAGGTTTCCAGTTTCTCCACAACCTCATCAGTATTTGCTGTTTGCTTCTCTGTTGAATTTTGCTATTCTTACTGGGGTGCGATGATACCTGATAGTTGTTTTGCACATACACATTTGTATGGAATGTTAGCATACAAAAGAAAATAATCTATAATTATTATCTATAATAATCTATATCAATAATCTATAATACTTCATGACTAAGTGCGTTGGACCAAAAATGCATTTTAAAATAATTTCATTTTATCTTACTATACTAATAGGCAAAAAAGGAGCTTTCTCTTGTGGCCTACTGGTAAGAAGCAGTGTTGCAATCCCAAAGGCACAGAGTTTGAATCCACCAGTTGCTCCAGAGAAGGATGAACCGTCTCCTTCCATGTCATTTACTGCCTCTGAAAACTTGGTGGAGGGTCAGCTATTAGTCAATTCAGACTTGACAACACACAAGAACAATAGGTAAAAGCAAGCATACAATCACTTTAGTAGAAGGAGGGGGAAACACATAGGATTATTATTCGTAGTATTAAAACTTTTGCATTGAATTTCCACTTAAAGGAGGTCGGGAGGCAGTTCGCTGTAATTATAAATGCACTACAGAGAACCCTTGCACATAAACATCTATCTTTGGGTCTTGAATTATTTCACTGTAAGTACTAAAGAGCAACAACGCCCGTCTGGAGACTAAGGTGCACCTGGTACAGGCCATGGTCTTTGGAATCACTTGCTATAAATCAGAAAGCTTGACAATGACTAGGGATGGTAGAAAGAGAATTGATGCCTTTGAGCTGTGGTGTTGGAGAAGAGTATTGGATATACCATGGACTGATAAGAGGACAAACAAGTTTTTCCTTGAGAGGGTGAAACCAGACTGCTTCTTGGAGGCAGGGATTCTGAAGCTTCATAAGACATACTTTGGCCATGTTGCAAGGAGGTACTAGTCCTTGGAGAGGGATGTCATGCTTGGGAGGGTGGAGGGATGGCGCAGGATAGGAAGACCCTTGATAAGATGGATTGATTCAGTGACTGGCTTAATCAGGATGGGTGTGTCAGAGGCAGTGCAGTTGGCACAGGATAGAGCAGGGTACTTAGAGTCGCTATGAGTCAGAGGTAACTCGATGGCACATAACAACAGATAATTGTGGCTGTAGTGGTGGTATATACTGTATAGTCAGAACCAACCCATATCTGACCCTCTGGTGGGTTTTCAGAGGCAGTAATAACAGAGGAGGAGATTGCCCATCCTTCTCTCACAGAGCAGC